ATGAGCATGAAGCTGAGCAAACTCCGGGAGGCAGTGAAGGACAGGAAGGCCTGGCGCAATATGGTTCATGGGGTCACAAAGAGTCGGAAATGACTTAACGACTAAACAACAACAACAACAACAATCATATCTGGGCTTTAAAACTCCAGAAGACCACTGGATGGTCCCAAAGTAATAGAAAACTCTGATTCTGCTGCCATCTGGTACTGTGGATTTCTACAGCCCAACTTTGTTAGACTGATTTTTCCCTCTCATTGCTGATTTTACTGACCTTTTAAATCAATGCAAATAGAAATAAGGATGATACAGATAGTAACAACTGCAAATAAAACTACTAAATTTAATCATATTGATATATTGCAAAAGCCTAGGTAGTAAACAGGATATTTGAGAGCCATTTCACCCTAGTGATTAAGGTGCTGGAGTAGGACCAAGGAAACTGGAGGTCTAGTCCTGCCTTAGGAATGAAGCCAGCTGGGTGACTTTGGGTCAGTCACTCTTTCTGTAAATATTGCTGTGATGAAATGTATCTACAAAGAGGAGGGTGATGTGGAAGATCAAGGCTATCAGGAAGGAGGGGGTGCATTCCAGGAGGGGAAAGGAGACAAGAGACAACATAGTCTGCAGGGGAGCGTGGGAAGACTAAGAGGTTCAGGATAGCCACTCCCTAGAATCTCCCAGGCTACATCCACTAGTTGCTGTAGTACGCGTTTAGTCTGGCAAGATTCTGTCTATACGGTGTAAGCTAATAAAGGAACTGGATTGGACTGGACTGTTTCATCGTTGTTCTTGGGCTGGGCCTGATAATTGCCAAGGAAACCACTGGACTTATCCATGTACAGTAGCTCTCCAGGAGTCAAACCTGTTTTTGAAGTATTGTTGCATGTTAACTGATTCATAATAATTAATAATTATCCCTTTTTCAGCCCTTGTTATTTTTTTTTTTAATTCCCACCATTTTAAAATAAGAATTGTTCTTGTTTGACATACCTTAAAATATGTCGTACTAAAACGTTATTAAATGATTATGACCAAAAATAGCACACAAATGCCTTTTCTTTTCTTTTCTTTTCTTTTCTTTTCTTTTCTTTTCTTTTCTTTTCTTTTCCTTTTTTTTTTTTTTTACAGATCTTGTACCGACCAGGTATAGAACAGGTAATATTAAACATTGTGCTTTCTCACAGTTTGCTAATCTGAAAAGGATGATGTTTTATCCTAGTGGTAAGGTGCTAGAGTAAGACCAATGCAAATAGAAATAAGGATAATACAGATAGTAACAACTGCAAATAAAACTACTAAATTTAATTGTATTGATATATTGCAAAAGCCTACATGGTAAACAGGATATTTGAGAGCCATTTTACCCTAGTGGTCAAGGTGCTAGTATAGGACCAAGGAAACCGGAGGTCTAGTCCTGCCCTAGGCATGAAGCCAGCTGGGTGACTTTGGGTCAGTCACTGTTTCTGAAAATATTGCCAAGAAAACCACTGGACCAGTCCATGTACAATAGTTCTCCAGGAGTCAAAACTGTTTTTGAAGTATTGTTGCATATTAACTGATCCATAATAATTATCCCTTTTCAGCCCTTGTTATTTTTTTTTAAATCTCCACCATTTTAAAATAAGAATTATTCCAAAACATCAATTTCTTATAAAATTGAATTTTATTTTTTATTATTTTTTTGCCAAGAAAACCCAAATACATTTGGCTGCCTGAAGTACTAGAAATGTCATCAGACTGCTGCCATAGTTAGAGCCAAGAATTTGCCAGGATTTCAAAAGTATCAAATCATAACTTAAGTTGAACCCACAGTGGAACATATTCAGTATCATTTTCATTCCAGTTCATTGTTGAAATTAACAAATATGCCTCGTGATAGGCTTTAAAATCAGAAAATTAAAACCACTATTCTGATATGACAGTCATTTTTGCTTTTGAAAGAGAAATCCATAAAAGATATCAGACGTATGTTTATTGAGGTAGAATTTGGGGGAGGGGGTTGTTTATGTTTCTGGTATAATATCTTATTTATACAGTGTGAAAAAGCATAGAGTTGGAGTAGACAGCCTGCAGACATGAGCTTTTGTTTCTTATAGTCTTTTGGCCATGCTGGCTGGAGCTGCTGGAAACTGCAGCCTCAAATCTCAGTATCCCTATTTTCTTCCAATATCTTCAACTAAGAAAAATAGTTCTGTTGAACAGTTGTATTCAATTATGGATCTTTTAAAAAACAAGAAAGAAAAAGAAATGGATGCAGACAATTTAATAGAGTAAGACAAGGAATGTGTTGAGTAAGTGATTTTATTTAAAATGGAAGTGAGAAAGTGATGTTATGATAACCTTTAAAAAAACTAAAGCATTTCAAATTTGTGGTTTTGAGAAAATAACATTTCCCTTGATGGAGCTCAATGTGTTAATTTTCTAGCAACAATATAGAAGAGATTTCCATCAACTCCTTCTTAGATTTTTTAAAATTCCCAATCAAATGTATAGCCTTGGCATTTCCTAATGATCTCCCAGAATACTTGTTGCAGAAGATCCAATCCTGATTACTTGTTTTGAGGTCAGCCAAAGTTGGAGAGATGCTGGGTATGGTATCATATCTGTGTATCATGTCTGTGACTCTTTATGAAGAAAAACCTAACTAACGTATTAATTAATTAAATTTCAAGAGGTCCGATTGGTCAATGGAAGGGATTACTGTCAAGGCCGTGTTGAAGTTCGGCGTGATTATGGACAGTGGGGAACAGTTTGTGATGACTCGTGGGATCAGATGGATGCAAATGTAGTGTGCAGAGAGCTCGGATGCGGAATTGCTACTGGAGCTGTATCTGGAGCATATTTTGGCGCAGGATATGGTCCTATTTACCTGGATGAAGTTCAGTGCAATGGGAATGAATACTATTTTGGGGACTGCGCAAATGCAGGCTGGGGAAATCATAATTGCAACCACGGAGAGGATGCTGGTGTTATTTGTTCAGGTACTTTCTTATTCTGTCAGATAAATATACATATTTTATACGTTATTTTTTCATTGTCAGTTAACGCTGAACAGTTTGTACAACTTAGTGTGTGCAATATAAAGTGTACTAGCCAACAGATAACTTAATATTTTAACTCACCTAACTAGAACTCATGATGGTATCAAACACAGAAGGAAATGGTGGATGTAAAATTATAAATTCTTAAGAGATAGGGCTCATCAAGCAAAGAAAAAACGAGATGGGCAAAATTCGGCTTGCAGAGGAAGCAATCCAGCTGTCAGCAACCTTTATCTAAAGAAAAATGTCACGTCGGCCTGGCATACAACAGAAGTTAACTTGTTGGACTAGGATAGCAGGACCCAGATTCAAGTTCCTACTCAATGATGGAGCTCACTGGGTCACTTTGGAGCTGTCTATTTCTCTCAGCCCAGCCCAGCCCAGCCCAGCCCACCTCCCAGCCCAGTCCTGCTTATTGGGGAAACTTTGTCCTGGAGCATATACTTTTCAATAGAGAATTTACAGCACATCAAGTATAACTAATTTGCCTGTATTCTCAGGTTGAAGGTTGTCAGTGGAATTGGTATAGTCCCTGACAGAACTGAGAGAATAAAATATTGAAAAATGAAGTCAGCAGTCCGAGCTAAAAGTTCCAAAACAGAATAAGGTTTTGAATAATACTTCATCCAAGTGGGAGATTTTTTGAATCTTTGGTAAAACACAGAAAACCTCAATAAATGTTTTTAAATAAGGATTTTATTCTTAACTTTTTTAAAAGTCCGTATTCCTAATCAGATTGTGTTTGTATTAGCCTCAGTTACAAGTCTTAATTTAACCTTTTTAAAGATCATATAAACACTGCAAGTTAGTGTTTTGTCTAATAAAGTGCCTCAAGTCCTTTAGGAAGTGGGCATTCTATAAATGTTTGCATAAATAAACAATGCTTTTGTTTTTAAAAAAATGCAAATGATTTAATATGAAATATGTTGAGCTTCCATACTAAAACATTTTAACTGGGATTTAGGGTTATTTTCTTCCTTCTTTTTCTTTTCAAATCAAACCATCATTCATTCATTCATTCACTCATTCATTCATTCATTCATTCATTCACTCATTCACTCATTCCAGTTTTGAGGCCACCGAACTCTGAGTGGGTTACAGATTAAAAATTAAAAGAAAACAAGAGAAAAAAGAAAAAGAAAACAGCTAACTGGAACAAGAGCCCCAAAAGCCAAGCAACCAATCACCAACCATAAAGCCAGCCATCAGAATAGCATAAAATAGATAAAAAATGAAAATATTGATAAATACTCCATCCTGACTTTGGCAGCATTCAATATGAGACAAGTAAAAATGGAATAATACAGAGATCAAACAAAAGAAACATCTGGACCAACAATGCCAGCACTACCACAACAAACATCCCACAAGGGGTCTACCAACCGCTCTACCCAAGGCCTGGGGAAAGAGTCAGGTTTTAAGAGTTCATTTAAATGGGGTCAGGGCCCATATGAATTTCAGAGGGGACATCATTTCAGAGGGGGGCTTCTGTAACAGACCTCTGCTTCTTCAGTCCCATTAAGTGACCCCATCTAGTTGATGGGACCCAAAGCATGCTGGCTCTGTCTGATTGCATAGAATGGACAGAAGCCACAGAAGACAGGCAGTCCCTCAGATAACCAGGCTCAATGCCATAAAGGGCCTTAGAGGTGATGATCAGAATTTTGAATTGCACCCAAAAGCCTCCTGATAATCAGTGCACCTCCTGCTGCATGTGAGGGCACGAAATTGGGCAACCCAGGAAGATCTACCTGAATAATGGTTGGACAGGGGAAGCCACAAATAGATCGTGCTCTCTGCAGGGAATTTCAGGATAGGATGGATAAATATCATCCAGGATTCTGTATGGAGAGAGCAGTAACTCTCTTTATTTATTTATTTAGTAATAAAGAGTGCACATGACTCAAGGACTCTACTGAGCCATCTCTACAAGGATATGTGCTAGAATGGGGGGGGGGGTATTTTTGTAATGCCCAGCACAGCATCAGAGGTATATCTCCCTCAGATTAGACATTAATTCCACCATCCCTGAAATAGGTCACATGATGCCACCAGAAACTCTTGCATTCAAGCAGAATTAGCTACATAACGATTGCAGTGCAGGCAGAGAGACCCAGCACACTTTTAATCACACTGAATAGTTACGGGAAAAACAGATTCCTTTCCCTTTTTTGCACTCACAAATAAGTGCCCTCTTGAAACCAAATAGTTGTCAGAAAAATGAGTACAGGTGAGTAACTTGTGCAGACTTAGCAACAAAGCAACCATTATTCTTCTGGTCATTGTATTCACTCGACAAGCAGTGCGGTGGGCAGTCGATATGCATATCAATACAGTACAGTCGTTGTGTGGATAAACTATGAAATCACTTGGAATGTAATGAAATCCCTTTTTTTCTTTTTCAGCGAGCGTTTCTACCACAACAGGTAACGTTGAAACACTAGAATTGTCTTTCAGAGTTCTTTCTGATTATTTGAAGACCTACAGCTGAGTTGACAATATGGAGATGGGGGGTGAGGGGTGTTCCATCAACATTGTCCAGTGGTCACCTGAGCAACATGACGCTGTCCAAATAAGTCACTCTTTCCCAGCTCTGCACCCGGGTTCTTGTTTCGTTTTAGGAACATGTGTCCTTTTCCTCAAAAATCAGCATACATGAGTGCACATTGGATTATTCCTCTGCACCCAGATAGCCTTTACAACCAGGGACAGGTTTCTGATGGTAAAATCTGGACTATCCACTGTTAGGGTAGCCTGGATAGTTTCCTGCACAGCAATATTGCCTTCAGAATCAGATTTTAGCTTTGTCATTGGAAGAAGCGGCAGCTTTTCACTCAGTAAATGAGTGCAATTTCTTATTTTCTCTCCTGAGGCCTTGTTCTCCTTAACAAAATACAAAAAAATGTTCAGCGTGATATTTTTGAACTACCAATATACGTTTGCATTTACAAATGGTGAGAACTAAAGTCTTCCTAGCTGCTTTGAAAAAGGGCTGAAGCTTAATGAAATAGCCTGTATAGAGTAGAAATAAAATATCTTTTGTTTCCTTGATGATATAAATGCAAAATGCCTCATCTTTACTCTTTGTTTATTGACAAATTTTGAAAGACAAACAACAGGTAATTTTGAAATTACATCTGCAAAGCAGGGTATAAGGATCCAACTATAAAATGTAAACTAATTTGGCAATTACCCTTTGCTTTTTATTTCTTTCGGTGTTTGTCATAGAGCCATACTTTGAACCTTCATATTAGATTGATCGTGCGCTATCAAGTCAGTGTCAACTCTTAACAGCCACAGAGACGGATTTTCTCCATGACGATCTGTCCCTAACCTGGTCTTTCGGGTCTTCCAACAGTGCACCCATTGCCACTGTAACTGAGTCCATCCACCTCCCATCACAAACTTACCTTTAGGGTTTAACTGTGGTAATAAAATCCACTTCACTGTACAACACGCTGGCATAACTTTAGTTATATCTACTGCAGCAGAAAACCTTGCGATCTAAACACATTTATCCAAAATACAGTGGATAATACATTATGACATTCAAGTTCCAGTTCAAATCTAGGGATTTCAGAACAGATGGTAGCTCCCAAAGGACCCACCAACAATTTCTGGAATCTGTTTCTGGAAAAGATGCAACTGGTTTAAGAAATTCCTGGCAGGTGCCATGCCTGTCTGCTCAAACCACCTTTTCCCCTTCAAAGCTGAAGCATTGCACATCTCTATTCTGAATTATTGGAACTACTGTACTGTGTAAACACACAAACAAACAAACAAAAACTCCTATCAGGTGATTGCAGAGTATTCAGTGACTCAGTGTATTTGCTACTGCGGTTGAATGTTCAGTAATGTCAACTTTCATGATTGAAATCTGAAAATAAAATCAAATCGCTTTTAACCTTGTATATTATGCTACATGTTCACAAAACTTCACAGAATTATCTGTCACTGTCGCCTATCTAATACTTTATCTTTGTTCACTTTGCAGTTCCTTACTGGCCAACAACATCAACAACGCTACGTAAGAAAGTTTTGGAGATTTGTTTCACCTGTTAAATCTAAGCCGTTTGGGGTATAAAACAGCCTTTTCCTGGATACTGCTTTTTATGTTTGTGATCCCGTACTAGAGAATGCAGTCTTATTATCAAATAGCATTGAATCCTAGAGTTCTCAGAAACCTTTAAAGGATGTACAGTTGCTCGGTTTCAAGATGCACAGCTAACCTGAGATTCTTTTTGTTCTGTTCTGTCTTTTTGTTCTGTGAGAAAGAAACAGACTTAACCCAGAGCTTTACAAGTTTGCTGTTCATTTGTTCAGTCACTTTTGACTCCACGTGACCCAAGGGACATCATTTCACTAGGACTATTTGTCAATAATTGCTTCTTTGAATCCTTGTACCTCAAGGTTTTGTTATCAGTGAGGGAATCTAGGGACCTTGCCTTCTTTTAGCCTCTATTTTTTAATAGGTTTTTTTCCTGCAACATCTGGGTCTTCTCCCAGATGTGACTCTTGTCTGTGAAATAAATTAGGTTCTGGCTATCTACCTTTTAGCTTCATTATTAGTACTTCCAGTAAACGGTCTGGTTTTACTTCATTTAATATTGGATGGCTTGTTCTTGTTGCCCAAGCTTTCTCAACCTATTGTCCAGCACCAGAATTCAAAGGAGTGATTTTAATAGAAAGGCAGCTACTACAACAGGCAATCAAAAATGCAACTAAGCCTTATCCTAAGTCAAGTCTCAGCCTCAATGGAAAATAAGAACATGCTAGAGAGTTGATGCTGGCCCCCAAAGAATAAAGGCTGGCAAATTTTTATAGCCATGGTCCACACCTATTTTGAATTTCTTAAAATAGTGTCAGCATAGAATGCAATTTGCAATTATTTTTGCCAAAAGATCAGTACATCTCCATTCAGCTGAGAATGTTTACTTACAGCATTTACATTTATTTCAAATATTTGAGACAGGTCTTGTGATATAACAACAGGTTTCCTCTGTCAAGCCTTTTGTCTGCTTGTCCATGAAGGACCTCAGACAAAAACATTTCAGTAAGGGGATGAGGGACAGCACAGTACATATTATAAACTGGTATTCCAGTTGTTTGGAGGATGTTTATGGCTGCATATTTGAGTAGTTTCTATACAGTGGAATGTCCTGTGTTCCATTCTTTCTCATCATGGTCCTCTTACTCACCCCCCACCCCACATTT